ACCCCCCCCAACCCGAAATTCGGGTCAAATTCGGGTCTTCGGGTTGGGTTGGGGTGGTCTGGTAGGTAGTCACCTTCTGCCTGCGTCCTCGTGGTCGCCCGCTTCCGGACTCTGAGCCAGAAGGTCAAGCTTGGGATCGGTTCTCATTTGATTGACGCGATTCGTGACGGCCGGCATGCGTCCGCGCGGTTTCCCCCGAACGTCTTACCATCTAGATTCTGCGGCAGTGCAGGCGGTGACACTCTGCAGCGCTTTCTTGGATGCCCCACTTCGCAGGCGATTTCTCTCCCCCAATCCCCGACTTCCGCCAGAAAAGTTTGGTCGCTCAGAAAAGGGGAGGAATCTTGGGATACATCCCGAGGGGGCTATTCGGACGCACCCCTGTCGAGGATGGACGCCCCCCCCTCGTATATCCCAGGGTTGGGCCCCAAATTGTTGATCCTCTCGAAAACCTCACGGAGCCTGGGATAGGGGTCGACGCATCCCCTGTTACCACTGACTGGAGCGTTGTCAACGAATCAGCGCTCTTCCGGCGGGCGCCCGACGGCCCGCCCATGCTCGTGAAGAGGTGGTGGCTTGCTGGGCGCCCCAAACACACGCCGTAGACAGTTTGATGCAAGCTGCCCTGGTCAAAGAGGCACTGGGGGGGGGGGGGTTCAACATGCTGGAGCGTCCAAGGTGGTGTACCCTACCGCCCAGCGGATTTACCACTTCCGCTCGAGGCATCGCGCGACTGCTCGCTTGAATTCTCGGCTTCGACACTTCACACACGAAATGCTCAGATAGGTGCCGTGTGCGTCTCAGTCGCGTTGCATTCCGCTTTCCTTTGTCGCAGTCGTGGTGTGTTGTTGCGTGGTGTCGCAGTTCCTTTTCTGCGTCGTACCCTGGCTTATGAAACAGTTGCGCTTTGTAGCGCGAGCTGTGCGCACATACCCACGAAGTATTTTCATTGAAGTTTCCAGTCGTTCTTCGGCGTTTCACACGGGCCCAGTCTATTGTCCATTGTCCTTCCTATCCTTCTCTTTCTCTCTCTCTCTCTCTCGACTCCGTTGCTTGCCTCGCGCTCCAGCTGTCTCTATTCATAGTGCGCCTTTGGTCCCTAGCTTTTAAATGCGGGTTGTGTTTCATTCGCGGCTGTGGAGAAGCCCTCGTGCAGTGGAACATTCTATCATCATCACCATGTTCGTCATCATCATCGTCATCGTCATCATCGTCATCGTCGTCATCATCGCCATCCTCATCGTCATCGTCGTCGTCATCGCCATCATCATAACCACCCGCAGCAACATCATCATCATCATCATCATCACAGTCATCATCGCCAACATCATCATCCTCATCATTATCATCATAATCAACAACATCATCATCATCATCATCATCATCATCATCATCATCACCATCATCATCATAATCAGCATCGTCATCACCACCATCATCATCAGCACCACCAGTTTCATCGTTATCGTCATTGGCCTATGCATCGTTCTCATCATCATCATAATCAGCATCGTCGTCCAACATCCGTATCCACACATACGCACTCATTAACTCGCGCACCCACTCACTCATTCACGCACTCGTACGTTCATGCCGTGGAAGTATCGGGCAGGAGCCTCGTCTATGAGTGGGTGGTGAGGAGGTCTCGATCGGGAGCCCCCTCCCTACCGAGCCCCAGATCATGCCATTAATTCGAGTGGGTCGTCTCAAACCTTGCGACTGTCGTCAAATGTCGTCGCCTTGGGCTTGACTCGAGATGAAGTCTCGAGCGGGAGTGTCATCCGTGAGTGAACCGTCAGGACGTATGAAGCGACCCCCGCTACTAATCCGAGGGTGTCGTCCAACACGTGCAAGTGTCGACCGCAGGTCCCACGGGGCCCACAAGTCTCACAGGTTGCACAGGTCCCACAGGTTCCACAAGTCTCGCAGGTCCCACAGCTCCCACAGGTCGCACAGGTCCCACGGATTCCAGAGGTTTCGCAGGTCGCACAGGTCGCACAGGTCCCACAGGCACCACGGGTCACACAGGTCCCACACGTCCGAAAGACGCACACGGCTCACAAGTCTCACAGGTCCAATTTTACCCCAAAGTCGCACGGGCCCCACAGGGCCAAATGGTCGTACAGGCCGCAAAGGTTTCGCAGGCCTCGCAGGACCCACAGGCCCCACAGGTCCCACAGGCCCCGGAGGTCCCACAGGTCCCACAGGTTCCACAGGTTCTACAGGTTTCACTGGCCCCACAGGACCCACAGGTCTCTCAACTTTCACATATCCCACGCATCCCACAGGGCCAATAGGATCCACGGGCCCCCCACAGGTCCAACAAGTCACACGTAGCACATGTCTCACAGTCTAAACAGGTTCCACAGGTCCCACAGGTCCCACAAGTCCCACAGGGTCCCACAGGTCCCACGGGACTCACACGGAGCATTAGTTTCACAGGTCCCAACGGCCTCACAGATCGCACGGGCCCCACATGTCCACAGGACGCACGCGCCGCGCATGTCCCACAAGTCCCACGGGTCTCACAGGTCCCACACCGCTACAGGGTTTCGCGGGTCCCACGGGCCTCGCAACCCCTACATGCCCCACATGCCCCATAGGTCCCACAGGTCCCGCAGGCAGCACAGGTCGCACAAGTTCCACCTAGTCCTAGAGGCCCCTCAGGTTCCACAGGTCCCACGGGTCCTCTTGTCCCACTAGAAAAGTCTCTAGCGGGATCCTCAGTCCTGAGCGAGTTGTGATAATGTTTCGTGGTAATGTTTCGAGTTATTCCTGTGAGGTTGTCATGCGGGGTCCTATCGTCGGAGCAATTGCTACTCTTATTCTCTACTCTGTCTGCAGTCTTCGCTCCACGCTTCGCTGTATGCTTGGTTGGATTTGGGCGCAGAAATGACAGGATGGAAGGAGGGAGGGAGGCAGGGAGGGAGGGAGGGAAGAGGGGGGAGGATAATGATGAGGAATTTCAGGCATCCATATGCAGTCATAGCAACTGCATTGCCGATTTGTTCCCAGGCCATGGTTCATGGCACGAGTTTACCTATTACAGGTCTGCTTGTGCGGGGGGAGATAAGGATGAGGGAGGTAAGGAGGAGGAGGAGGAGGAGGAGGAGGAGGAGGAGGGGAGGAGGGATACCAGAGGAGGAGGCGGGGAAGGGGGAGGAAGAGCTGGAGGAGGAGGAGGAGGACGCGGTGGGGGATTCTAGGGAATCTGGAAAGGCCACAATGTTGGGAATGGACGGGCTACGCTCGCTTCTCCTGACGCCCTGGTGGCGCCTTAGCTGGGGTATCGATGCTCTCAGCTGAAACAAACTACTGACCTCCAGAGCCCAATCTCGAGGGCGACGTGTGGGGGGGATGGAGGAGAAGAAGAAGAGGAGGAGAAGGGGGTGTGAAGAGAGAGACAGGGGAATAGAAGAGCGGAGGAATATCAGACCGATTATGGCAATGACGGATGATGACAAGCATGAGGAGGTGCAGGAGGATGCTATCAGCATCCTCCTCCTCCTCTGCCTCGTCTGGGGGGGGAGGTGAAGGAGGATAAGAATGAGGCAGGACGCGTGGTGCGTGTGTGGGGTGGGGTGGTCGGGGTGGGGGCAGAGTTAGGACTGCTTGTCCCTAGCTGTGGGGTGCGATGGGACTTTGAAGCGAGAGTCCCGCCTTGAGGGACGCAGGGTTTCGTAATACTAGTAAGTCCTGTGGCGAGGACCGAACATGTTGACGAGGGAGAGGACGAGGCGGAAGGGGTGATGAGGAGAACACCGACAGACCACTCACGGCCCCCAGCTCTGAGCCCGGTGGCCGTCGTGGACTCCCCGCCGCTCGCCCGCGTGCTGGACCGCGTCGCCTTTCAGGACGGGTCTGGCGCCGCCACGCCGTGGGCTCTGACAGTCAAGTCGCTGGAAGAAGGACCCCTGTGGGCTCAGGAGGGGCTATGCTTCCCAGCCCCTGATCACAGATCTGGGCCGAGGAACCCATTTGTAGCCGAGGCTCGCCGTGGTCTGGAAAGCTCCCTCGTTCCCTCTTCACTGTTCCCTATGGTGGCACGCTGACCGTACTGCAGCCGAGCTGTGCGTTCATGGAGCTTCCCACTGCCGGCCACAGGGCTCCTGGACAGCTTATCCGACCTGGAGTATCGTTTCTGCAACTCCTGCCCTGGCTTTGCGATCGTTCTCACGACGTTTCTGGGTGTTCTCTCCAGGCTTTCGGAAATTCCGGGGGGCACAGTTGCCGAGCTCACGAAGCACACGCCGGTATGCGTTTGCCATCGATGATGTTTTGCGCAACGTGGCACCATCATGAGTGAATACGGGCATGTCTGGCGGGCAAGGCGCAGCCGATGCAGTACGCGGGCACGGGTCATGCAGTTGACCGACCGGATGGTTTTCAAGATGCATCGGGCAAGCGCAGGTCTGATCCCCACGAGAGTTCCTCTCCGCGCATGTCCCAATTAAGGGGTGTCTTCTGTCTCGGTCCTCTTCCCGCTTCCTCCCTCCCTCTCTTCCCCCTTGCCCTGGCGCGCGGACCGCCGCCATGCTGTTGCCCACCTCCACCTCCCTCCCTCCCTCCTCCATCGCCCGATTCACTTTAATCTCCCTCCTCCTCCCGTTTCCCTCATCTCTCACCTCCTCTCCTTCTTGCATCCTCCTCCCACTTACCTCCCTACCTCGCTCCACGCTTCTCGCCCCTCGCTCCTCCGCCGCCCCTCCTCCCACCTTCCGATCCTTCTCCTTCCTTCTGCCTCCGCCTCTCCTGTCTGGAGCCCACAGAGGACGTACGCGCCCAGCCACATACATGAATCTGCCCCCCCTTGCGCGAGGCCGCCCTCATGTCACGAACGCTGGCGCAACGCGTTCTCTCGAAGCCCAGTCGCAGCAGTCGCTCCTCCCTCTACCAGCCGCTTCTCCCTCCTCCCTCCACCAGTCTGTGTATGCCTCCCTCCCCCAGCCGCTCCGCCCTCCACCACGGCGACGACGGCGTCCTGGCAGGAGAAGCCGCCGATGCCGCGTGTCCCGCACGACTCCAGCACGGCGGAGCTGGCCGCGGAGTTGGTGGAGCAGCTGACGGCGAGGGGGCCCAAGGCGCTCAGCGATGAGGAGGACGAGGAGGAGGAGGATCGAGGATTGAGGATCGAGGTTGCAGGATTTTTGCCCGGCTGCAGCGCCTGGATTTTCATTCTCTGGGGTCCTCCTGGAGTGCCCTCGTGGCCACGACTGGATCAGCCTCGGAGTTCTGGTCGGAAGGCAGCCCTGGACGGGTTCATGGGGTCGCCTTTGAGGGGGGAGAAGGGGAGGAGGAGGTGGAGGATGATGATGATGATGATGATGATGATGATGATGATGATGATGATGATGATGATGATGATGATGAGGAGGAGGAGGAGGAGGAGGAGGAGGAGGAGGAGGAGGAGGAGGAGGAGGAGGCAGTTCGCGGCCCTCGAGTTGGAGGCAAGTAGCGCGGAGTTCGACGGCGCCGCGGAGGAGTTCAGGCGTCGGGTGCAGCTCATCCTGCCAGTGCTCGCTGCCGGCTTGGCTGGGGCCCGAGTCGGTGGCGAGGCGCTTGCTCGCAGGACTTTGGCATCGCATGACTTCGGCACGCTTGCCCAGGTCATCGCTGGCGCTTCGCGGAACGAGCTGAATCCGGTCCAACGAGAAGGTCGAGTTAGAGCCTCTGTCGCTGTGCTGAAGGCGGACAGTCCAGTATTCATCCTTGGAGCTGGCCACTGGGTGCCGCTCAGCCCCGTCGTGGGTGTCATGTGCACTTGAGGCGCGGTCGTCTTTTCTTGCTGCTCGTCTCACCGCTGCTTTTCCAATGAGGGTTCGGTCGCGGCTTCGAGTTCCATGCCCGAGGCGTACGGGGACCAGGCTGGTGGGCTGGATTGTTCCGCGAAGGACACGGATGAGGTGGAGGCGAGTGCGGCCGATGCTGGGTCGCAGGAGGCCGACGTGGAGGCGTCCAATGAGGATGGGGTGCCAGAAAGCATCCCCGAGGGCATTTTCGCCGAGACGCAGACCGTTCCCGACACCGCCATCGAGCCGGAGGGTATGCAGTTTCTGTGGATTCCGCGGGGCCTGCCACCCGACCCTGGCGAAGGCCGCTTCTTGGCCTACTAGCAGTCCGCGCTGGTTGGATCGCTGTCTTCCTGGAGTTTGAGTTTTCCTTGCCTATGGATTATTGCGTTTGCCGTAGCATCGTTTTTTCCTCGTCATCGGGGCCTTTTGCCTCGGCATCGTTTTGTTTTCTCGGCATCGCTTTGTCTCATGGTACAGCGTGTGCGCGTATTGAATGTGGTTGCCGCCCAGATCGCGCTGTCGCTCGGCTTCGTGGGATCGGTTTTCGTAATTCGGCCTGGACGCGTGCGGGCTGCACTAGTGCATGAAAGAGGTGTCTCGCACCTTGCTTCTCGTGTCCTCCTTCTTCTACGGTATGCTCTTGTCGCTGGGCGAGGTCTCGGGAGTTCCACTGAGGCATGTGAGTTGCTGTCAGAAAAAAAAAGTGGAAGTGGAGGTGGGGAGGAGGAGGAGGAACACGGGTCTTCAAGTCTGGGCGTCGCATTTTTACGGGCAGAGCCAGCGCTTTCACCCAGTTCAGGTCCTCATGGCTGTCACGCATATGCCGGATGGCGATTGTGTCCAGGGCCCCGCCCTGTTACTTCACGATGCTGCACTTTTTCGCCGACGTCTGGCGACACGAACCGATCGCGTATTGTTAAATTATTGTCGGCGGCTGGGGGCTGTTTATGCGCCTCAGTGCCGTCCAACAACGCCCCGGGATCAAAGCCAGGCCTTCGGGAAGGGGCCGGGCGCTCCAGTGCCTCGACAACAACGAGATAGCCGGAGGTCTATAGAGGGGGACGAGCAGGGGGCGGGCGGGGCGAAGATGGAAGGAGGTGGAGGGGAAGGAGGAGGAAGACGAGGAGGAGGAGGAGGAGGAGGAGGAGGAGGAGGAGGAAAAGTAGGAGGAGGAGGGGAAGGAAGAAGGGGGGCACATCCCCCGCTGGAGGAATACGAGGGGGAGGGGGGGCAGAGCATCAGCGGGAGGAGGCGCACGAGGAGCACGAGTACTGGCAGGAGGAGGTGCGGAAGGAGCAGGAAGAGGCTTCCCTTCCTCCTCCTCCTCCTCCTCCTCCTCCTCCTCCTCCTTCTCCTCCTCCTCCTCCTCCTCCTCCTCGGCGGAGGGATGCCGCCGAGGGGGTTGGGGAGCGGTGGTGGGTCGACGAGGCCCTCAGGGCTCACGGCGGCAGCACGGCCGCGCGCGCCCGCCCGACTCGCGCCCGCGGGGGGTTGGCCTCAGTGGCACCGAGCCTGCCCCCCGCTCCCTGGCCGAGGAGGAGGAGGAGGAGGAGGAGGAGGAGGAGGAGGAGGGGGAGGAGGAGGAGGAGGAGGAGGGGGAGGAGGAGGAGGAGGAGGAGGGGAGGAGGAGGAGGGGGGGAGGAGGGGAGGAGGAGGACGAGGGGGAGGAGGAGGAGGAGGAGGAGGAGGAGGAGGAGGAGGAGGGGGAGGAGGAGGAGGAAGAGGAGGAGGAGAAGGAGGGGGAGGAGGGATGGGGTTAAGGCGAAGGATGCATCGACCCTCAATCGCCCATTCATCGCGGAGGGGGTCCGGATAGCCTGCTCCTCGCGGGAACGTGAGGCTTCGGTATCGCGGGCTTATCGCCGATCTCTGTGGATGTATCGCCGATTCTAGGTCGATGTTTCCCCCCTGAGCTGGTCCCCCCCTATCGATGTCCCTCGCCCATGGCCGAAAGAAGGAGGCAGTGACGAAGCGTCCTGAACTGCCTATAGGCTTACCGAACAGTGTTATGATATACCATTACTCTGGTCTGCGCAGCATGCACTCAGACAACATTTTGCCGAGGCCCTTTTTGGTTTTGAGGCATCGGTTTCAGTTCTGAGGTCACTGCTTGTGTTGTTGGGACGTGGTAGGCCTGTCGGAATACGGGGACGGTCGGGCTCAAGAGAAAGCAGCCTTCATCATCTTTTCTTCGAGAATCGATGTTCGATGGTCGAGGTTGTCGCCCCCTTTCTGTGTTTCCTGACGTCTCGGGGAGGTCTCCGAGGACCTCAGGGGACATCCAGGAACCTCTGGAGACTTTCGGGGGCCCCTGGAGGCATCTGGAGACCAGACTTCGGGCAACTCTGAGAACTCGCGCCCGAGGAGTTCCGCAGCTGGCCCGCCCACCCACGGAGGCGCAGAGCTGCGCCAGGCTGAAGACCATACCCAGCTGCCCGCGGCAAACCCCGCCTCCGCGCCAGAGCAGCAGCGCAGCGAGAACGAAGTTGGGTTCAAGACTTGCAGTGGAGCTCCTCGGGGGCCTCTGGAGGGCGTCTCGGGAGCCTGTTGGGTTCGCCTGGGAGGCCTTCGGTGGTCTGCTGGGGGACCTCCAGGCGGTCTTCCGGGGGTCTCCTGGGTCTCGCGGGGAGCTCTCGGGGGCGTTGTTGGGCCTCGCAGGGACATCTTCAAGGGCGCCCTCGAGGGCGCGAAGTTATTCGCGCTTCGCGCTTCGCGGTTCGGCTCCGATTCCTCCTCGTCCTCCTCTTCTCCCCTGGGAGGCGGCGCGAGAGGGCGAAGTTATTCGCACTTCGCGCTTCGCGCAGCGCGAAGCGCGAAGTTGGGAGCCCTTACATCTTGGAGGCATGTTGGGGGTTTTGGAGGCGAGCCTGCAGGAAAAGGCTATCAAGGCCAGCTCGGTTCCGCCCCCCCTCGTGGGTTCCTCTTGGGGCCTCCTGATGGCCTTGGGCCTTGGGCCGCCTTGGGAGCATCTCGGCCTGTCTTGGGGACCCTGTTGCCCTGTCTTGGAGCCTTCGTGTGGCCGTGTTGGGCCGTCTTGGGTGTTTGGAAGTCAGGAAGGGCCAGCATGTGCAGATTCATCAGTCCATCAGAATCCTGGGGACCGGCATGTTTGTTTGCTTTTCAGGGCATCTTCGGGGCTTCTTGAAACGTCTCGAGGCCATCATGGGCTGTCTTGGGATCCTCTTAGAGCGTCTGGAGGCCATCTTGAGCAGTCTTTGGACCGCCTTGGAGGCCTTTTGGCAGTCTTAGGCGAGCGTGGCTGTCGTGGGCCGTTGTTTTATTATGATGACAGTTTGTTGATGCATTTTATTTCTAGTGGTTGTTGTGTTGTGTTGCCCGTGGTGATGGATATGTGTTTGGCATTTTTGATGTGTTTACGTTCTGCTGAGATGGGCTGCGTCGGCCCCCTCGGCCAGGGACTTTTGGGAACCAGATTTCTACAACCCGTAATTTGTTATGCGACTCATCTGTTTAGGGTGTGTGTTTGTTTTGCCAGAAGTGTTTGATAGTTTTACTCCCTCGGTGGGCATCTCTAGGGAAACGGCTTTTCCACACAAGAATATCTGATGGGAAGTTATTCGACATCGGCCGCGGAGAGGGGGGCGGTTCTCCAAGAGGGCTCGCGAGAAGGGGACGGGGCTGGCCCTCGACAGCACTCATCCGACCAGACAGCAGAGGAACATGCCCCCACGTGCACAATGGCGTAGTGGCCGATTCCTCATGTCGGCGACGTCCGCCTTGAAACAGACACCGACTGGAGTGGGACCAGCGCAGGGCTCGTTTCGATTCCTCCGATTCGATTCGATTCGACTTCGATGGCTTCCGATTCCGATTCGATTCGACTTGGGATTCCGATTTGGGTTCCGATTTCTTACTGGAGGCGTACTAGCCTGCCAATTTCAGCCGATTCGACTTTTCCCGACTCGGCTGTCGATTTCCGCCGATCCGATTCATTTCGACTGCCGATCCGACCTATCGATCCGATTCTGGGCCCTCCTGCCAGCGGGCGGGCGGCCGTCTGGACCAGCCCCCGGCGGACAGCCTGCCGCTCGGCGCGCGCGGGGGGGGGGGCGATGCCGCGGGCTGGCGTGCGCCAGTTGGGGCCCCGCGCCGCCACAGCCTGGGGCCGGGAAGCGGCAGCCGCGAGGGGGTCGGGAGCCTCGAGACGGGGGTCAGTGCAAACGGGGGTCAGCCAGGGCGCCGGATCCTGCAGGATCCTGCGAAGGCCCCCTCTGGCTGACCCGGGTTAGGGAGCCGCTCGTGGCCGCGAGGCGGCCGTGCGTATTGGTTGACCCGGGTTTGCGAGGACCTGCGTTGCAGTTTTTTTTTTTCTTGCATTGCAGTTTTTGGTTTCCTGCTGACCCGGGTCTGGATTGACCCGGGTCAGAGGATCCCCGAGGGGGGGGGGGCAGGGGACTGTTTGCTTTTGTGTCCCCGGGGTCTTTGATTTTGCCCAGGGTTGGGCGGGTCGTAAACGGGGGTGGCCCAAGTTGGAGGTGAAGCAAGGGCCTCAGAGGGGCCTTCTTGGGGGGACCCTGCTGGCTCCGAAAAGGGCCCCAAAGGGTTCCTGATGGGTTCTGCTTTTCACCCCCCATGTAGGTCACCCCCGATTTCCACCCACCCGACAGAGGCCACGTTCCCCGTCGCGAGTAGTCTTTTGATCGTTCTGGAGTCATGGAGACGCCACCCCGATGCGTTGTTTTACGTTTGCGCTGCGTCGCTGGTGGTCTGGGTGTGGCTGCCTGTTCGGCGGCCAAATGTGTTTAGGTGCCGAGCGGGCTCGGTGTATCAGCCGCCTCTGAGAACCGCCGCCACAACCAAATCACGACGTCGCGAAAACTGCCACGACCTCAGCCCTCGACCCAATGTGTTTGCGGTACCTCTTGATTCGGCTCACGGGTGTGAGTGAGGGCTCTGAGGGCCCGAAGTCATGTCGAAACAAAGGCCAGTCCCAGACACCCGACGGCCTGATTTTGTTCGAGACATGGGCACGTGGACCTCTCGACCCATCCCTAGCGACCGGTTTAAAGTTTCTACGTCCGTATTGTTGCTTGGCGGTCTTGGAGCCTGAAACGGGTCTCCATTCGATGAGAATTGTTGTCGCTTCGCGAATCCCCACCAGCCCATCCAGAAACGATGCCCAGAGGAATTGCCTCGATCAGAGAAGTGGGCAGCACACAGAGGAAGCCATTATGAGACATCTTGGGATATCTTGAGCCATCTTGGAGGTCATTTTGGGCTCTCCCAGACGCTCTTGGAGTCATCTTAATCCGTGCCCCCCCCCAAGAGGCCTCCATGTGGCTAAAACCTGTGTAGAATCAATGATTAGGCATTCTCGCCGAGGCCTCTTGGAGCATCTTGGGTGCATCTGGGGGGGCTCTTGGGGCCTCTTGGGGGTCTCTTGGGGGCCTCCGGGGGGCCTCTTGGGGGCCTCTTGGGGCCATTTTGGGGCCATCTTGGGACCTCTTGGGGCTTCCTGGGCGCTTCTTGGGGCCATCTTGGAGGAGATCGATCAAACAAGAGGGGGGGTTTAATTAGCGTCCCCCCTCGGAAGCCCCTAAAATCGCCTCTTGGACCCCTCTTGGAACGCTCTTGGAGTGCTCTTGGGCGCTCTTGGGGCCGTCTTGGGGCTCTTTTGGGGCTCTCTTGGGGCCCTCTTGGGCCATCTTGGAACCATCTCCAGGCCTCGGATGGCCATCGGAAGCGAAAAGGCGAGAAAGCAAAAATCATTGATTTTCCTTAGGTTTTGGGACGATTTTGGCCTCTTCGGGGCCTCCTTGGGGAGCTGTTTGGCCACTTGGAGTTATCTTGGGGCCGTCTTTGGGCTTCTTGGAACCATCTTAGGAGCCATCTCGAGCGATCTTGCGCTATCTTGAGCCATCTTGGAGCTCATCTTGGGTTCTCTGAGGCGCTCTTGGAGCCGTCTTGGGCCATCTGGGACGCTCTAACTACCCGCGGCCCCCCCCGTCCAGGTCCAGGGGAGGGGGTAGGGGGAGGGGTAAACCCCTCCCCAAGGGGGAAGAGGGAGGGGTGGAAGAGGATCTGCTCTAGACCACCTACGCCCAGAGGGCTGGTGGGATTTAAATGTCTGGTCGTCGTCGTCAGTCTCGGAGCGATTTGTCGCGCCGACGTGATCTCGGGGTCCACCGTGGTTAGTTCGGGTGAACGGGTGAAGCAAGGCGCTTTTTTTCTATCACATTTGGGCGCTGGCCGGGTGGCACCTCACGGCACTTTTGATCACCCCCCGTTGACGTCCAAAGCGGTTCCCGCGGCTGCCTGGGAGGAGCTATCTTAGCTTCTAGTGATGGTGTGCAGATTTGCCATGCGTCGTCGCCTCCTGCGCCACCCGTGGCGCGCTCCGCGCGCCAGGGAGGAGGGCCCAGCGCAGATCCAAGACATCCGTGCGGATCTCCGAAAGTTTATGTTTACAGTCACCAAGACGCTGAAGTAAGGGCCGCTTTGGGTTCGGAAGATGCTCGCTGTTCCTGAGGTAGTTCCGTGGTTGCTCTTCTAGCCCTCCTCGTCCCTCCTCGTGCACCGAGGTCATTCTGGTGCCACAAAGCGGCTTCGGTCCTTATTTAGCGTTCCTTAGGTCAGAAAGAGCGCGTTCTGTGGTCGCTTGGAAGGGGGAGGGAAATCGGACCCCCCCCCTCCGTGGATGGAGGGGGGGGTGGGACAGGGGGGGGGGTTCGAGCGCTTGCGTCGGCG